GACTGACTAAATTCACTCAGCATAATGCCCTCCAGATTTCTTCATGCTGCATTTCATGGCTTCATAGCTGTTCTTTATCACTGTGTAAATATACCATAATTTGTTTATCCATTCGTCCCCTGATGGGCACATAGGTTGTTTCCACCTTTTTGCAATCATGAACAGTGCTGCAATGAACATGGGTGTGCATATATCTATTTGAGTGAAGGTTCTTATTTCTCTAGGATATATTCCAAGGAGCGAGATTGCTAGATTGTATGGTACTTCTATTTCCAGCTTTTTAAGGAAGTGCTAAATTGATTTCCAAAGTGGTTGTACCATTTTACATTCCCACCAACAATGTGTAAGTGTTCAAGTCTCTCCACAATTTCTCCAACATTTATTATTTTGTGTTTTTTGGATTAACGCTAGCCTTGTGGGATGAGATCGTATCTCACTGTAGTTTCGATTTGCGTTTCTCTAATGGCTAATGATCGTGAGCCACTTCCTCATGTGTCTGTAAGCCGCCTGAATGTTTTCTTTGGCAAAGTGCCTATTCATATCCTTTGCCCATTTTTTAATTGGGTTACTTGTCTTTTTTGTTGTTGAGGTCTTGCAATATCTTGTAGATTTTAGAGATAAGACGCTGATCAGATCTATTGTAGCCAAAAAATTTTTCCCAGTCTGTAGGTTGTCTTTTGACTCTTTTGATGAGCTTAAGTGTTTGGTTTTTAGGAGCTCCCAGTTATCTAGTTTCTCTTCTGGTGTTTGTGCATTGTTATTTATGGTTCGTATTCTGTTTATGCCATGTATTAGGGCTCCTAGCATTGTCCCTATTTTTTCTTCCATGATCCTTACTATTTTTGATTTTATATTTAGGTCTTTGATCCATTTTGAGTTAGTTTTTGTGCATGGTGTGAGGTATGGGTCCTGTTTCAGTTTTTTGCAGACGGATATCCAGTTATGCCAGCACCATTTGTTAAAGAGACTGTCTTTTCTCCCTATTAATGGACTTTGGGCCTTTGACAAATATCAGCTGCTCATAGGTGGATGAATTTATGTCTGGATTCTCAATTCTGTTCCATTGGTCTATGTATCTGTTGTTGTACCAGTACCAGGCTGTTTTGACTATTGTAGTGGTATAATAGGTTCTGAAATCAGGTAGTGTGAGGCCTCCCACTTTGTTTTTCTTGAGTAATGCTTTACTTATCCGGGGCCTCTTCCCTTTCCATATGAAGTTGGTGATTTGTTTCTCCATCTCATTAAAAAATGCTGTCGGAATTTGGATCCGGATTGCACTGTGTCTGTATATCACTACGGGTAGAACCAACACTTTCACAATGTTGAGTCTTCCCATCCATGAGCAAGGTATATTTTTCCACTTACGCAGGACTCCTTTGGTTTCTTGCAGTAGTGTCTTGTAGTTTTCATTGTATAGGTCTTTTACGTCTCTGGTTAGATTTTTTTCCTAAGTATTTCATCTTCTTGGAGTCTATTGTACATTTGGTGATTTCCTCTTAGAAGTTTTCTTTGTTGGTGTAGAGGAATGCAACTAATTTTTTGTATGTTTATCTTGTATCCTGATAACTTTGCCAAAATCTTCTATTAGTTCTAGTAGTTTTCTTGTGGATTCTTTGGGGTTTTCTGTGTATATGGCCATATCATCTGCAAACAGAGATACTTTTACTTCCTCCCTACCAATCTGGACGCCCTTTATTTCTTTTTCTAGCCTAATTAGTCTAGTCAGGACCTCCAGCACAATGTTGAATAAGACTGGTGATAAAGGGCATCCTTGTCTGGTTCCCATTCTCAAGGGGAATGCTTTCAAACTCGCTCCATTTAGGATGATGTTGGCTGTTGGCTTTGTATAAATGCCCTTAATTATGTTGAGGAATTTCCCTTCGTCCTATTTTGTTGAGTTTTTTTAATCATGAATGGGTGTTGGACTTCGTCAAATGCCTTTTCTGTACTTATTGATAAGATCATGTGGTTCTTGTGTTTTGTTTATGTGATGGATTACAGTGATTGTTTTTCTAATGTTGAACCATCCCTGCAAGCTGGTATAAATCCTACTTCATCATGGTGAATTATTTTTTTGATATGTTGCTGAATTCTATTGGCTAGAATTTTGTTGAGGATTTTTACATCAATGTTCATGAGGGATATTGGTCTGTAATTTTCTTTTTTTGTGATGTCTTTATCTGGTTTTGGTATCAGGGTTATGTTGGCTTCATAGAATGAGTTTGGAAGTATTCTATCCTTTTCTATGCTCTGAAATACCTTTAGTGGCGGTGGTATTAACTCTTCTCTGAAAATTTGGTAGAACTCTCCAGTGAAACCATTCGGGCCAGGGCTTTTTTTTTGGGGGGGGGGGGGGGGTGGGTTTAATTACCTTTTCATTCTCTTCTTTTGTTATGGGTTTATTTAGTTGTTCTACCTCCGTTTGTGCAAGTTTAGGTAGGTAGTGAGTTTCTAGAAATTTGACCATTTCTTCTAGGTTTTCAAATTTGTTAGAGTAGTATTTTTCATAGTATTCTGTTATGATTCTTTTAATTTCAGTTGGGTCTGTTGTGATATCACCCATATCATTTCTTATATGGGTTATTTGCTTCCTCTCCTGGTTTTCTTTCTTCAGCCTGGCCAATGGTTTATCGATATTACTGATCTTTCCAAAGAACCAGCTTTTGGTCTTGTTAACTCTTTCAATTGTTTTTCTATTCTCTATTTCATTTAATTCTGCTCTAACTCTTATTATTTCCTTTCTTCTGGCACCCAAGGGTTTCTTCTGCTCTCTCTTTCTACTTGTTCCAGTTTTAGGGTTAATGCTTTGATTTTGGACCTTTCTTCTTTTTGGATGTGAGCATTTATTGCTACAAACTGACCTCTGAGCAATGCTTTTGCTGTGTCCCAAAGGTTCTGGCAGGATGTGTTTTCATTATCATTTGATTCTATGAATTTCTTTATTCCATCCTTCATTTCTTCTATAACCCAGTAGTTTTTGAGCAAGGTGTTGTTCCGTTTCCATGTGTTTGATTTTTTTTCCTTGCTTTTTCTGTTACTGATATCTACTTTTATGGCTTTATGGTCAGAAAAGATGCTTTGTAATATTTCGATGCTTTGGATTTTGTTAAGGCTTGCTTTATGGCCTAATATGTGGTGTATTCTGGAGAATGTTCCATGTGCGTTGGAAAAGAAAGTATACTTGGCTGCTGCTGGGTGGAATGTTCTGTATATGTCCATGAGATCAAGTTGGTTGACTACTGCATTTAGATCTTCCGTGTCTTTACTGAGCTTCTTTCTGGATGTTCTGTCCTTCACCAAAAGTGGTGTGTTGAAGTCTCCTACTATTATTGCGGAGCTATCTCTCTTTTCATTGCTGTTAGAGTTTATGTATTTTTGAGGCCTGTAGTTGGGTGCGTAAATATTTACTATAGTTATGTCCTCCTGGTGTATTGATTCTTTAATCATTATATAAGTGTCCTTCATTATCCTTTGTGATGGATTTTACTTTAAAGTCTATTTTGTCAGAGATTAATATTGTGGCATGGCATTTTCTTATTGTTGGTTTTGCTTACAGGCTGTGAACTCTGTTTCAGATATTTAAATCTTCTAACTGCTACACATATTAGCTTGTTTTAGTTAGTTGGGTGGTGTGGTAAACAGTCTCTAAAGATGGCCATCATCAATTTTCCCTCCCTGGGAACATGCTGCTCCACTCATCAGCAGGTGGACAATGCGGCAGACATGATGCTATGTCAGTATCGGCGCTAGTCTTGAAGAGGCAAGAGAGCTTTTGCTTCAGCTCAGGGAAGCCAATCACCTCTAAAAAGAAGCTCAGTCTAGACGCTGAGAGGCCATGGGAGGAGCAGCGAGATGCACACATGGAGTGAAGAATTCTTGGACCTTCCAGCCTAGCCCAGCTTAGCCCAGCTCCCAGCTGAATTTGAATGCAACAGAGTGAGTGACTAGCAGACGCCATGTGGAGCAGAAGAACTGCCCAGCTGAATCCTGCCTAAATTCCTGACACAGTGAATTGTGAGAAATAATAAATCTTTGTCGCAAGTCACTAAGTTCTGGGGTGTCCGCTTCATAGCAACAGACAACAGAAACTGGGGAAATAAAAAGTATTCTAAACAATAATAATCATGTGGGAATGTCCCAAAGAGAAGACATAACAGTGATGAGTTAAAGGCCAACGATAGTACAAAAGTCAATGAGAAGAATTTAGAATTAAGGAAGAAAATGCCAATACCAGCTAGGATTTTGCTTACTTGCGTTGGTTCTGATTGTTCATTTTCCTAAATACTTGCTAAAATCATTACTCTCAATGTCCCCAAGTTGCTGAAACCCTGTCAGAATGTCTATTCTATTCAAGTACCACTAATTCTTTTCCTTCAACAAATGCCATATTCTTTTAATCTTAGGTTACTTACTGTCCTATTCATCATAAAGAAAATGTATTGATTTATCTGGCCAGAATCTTTGTTTCTTTCACTTTTTTACTTCCCACAATTTCAAATTTTACTCAAAAAGCTACCATGTTTTGGGGATTCCATTCTCTTACACCAGTTTACTTTGGGAAAAAAAAAAAAAAGCATTTAACTTTGCCAGTAAATTTAAGTTCAAATGAGATCAAACCAAGAAGATTTATAAAAAACCAAAAACTTGAACTATCCCTTGAAGTAAGGACTACATTTTATACTTATGTGTAAACTACACAGTTCCTAATGTTTGTACATATTACATACTTAATACTTGCTGTTCTAATGTTATTAAGGCACACGACTGAAGAAAATTAGGGCTTCACAGTAATTCCACAACTTCTTTATATACTTTCCAACATATAATGTATTACGTTCTAAATTAGGTACTCAAAGAAATGAACTCTTAATTACTTATATTTCGTATATCTAATCAAGTATCAAGTCCTCTTGTTAATTTTTTCATCTAAATAATTCTATTAATCACGCTCTTGTCCCCATTCCTTATGCCATGATCCTAGATCAAGCCGTCATCACCTCTCTTCTATTCTGCAGTAACCTCCTTGGCAGAGCCCTAGTGGCACAGTGGTTAAGGGCTTGGCTGCTAATCGAAGGTCGAGGGTTCTAACCCAGCAGCCAGTCCAAAGGACAAAGATGTGTCAGTCGGCTTACATAAAGACTTACAGCCTTGGAAATCCTACGGGACAGTTTTACTCTGTCTTATTGGGTCGCTAAGAGTCAGAATTGACTCAACTACAACAGGTTTAGTTGGGTTTTTAACCTCCTTAGCAGGCTCTTGTTTCCCTCCTGGTATTCCTGCCTTGGCATCCTTCCTACTATATTCTATTCTTCACTCATCCATCAAAATTAATTACTCCAGCTGCCCAGAACCCTTCAAAAACCAAATGGTACTACGTCTCTCTTACTTTTTTCTAAGTTGAACCTTCTCAGTTCCTTTTATCATTCCTCAGATAATACTTCACTGGGCTCGCTATCTTGGTAACACCCTTCGTTTGAAGGAAATCAAATATGATGATGTCCTGATTAAAATATGATAACTAAAATTAAATACACTACTCAAAATAAGATTTGAAAATACAGACCAGAATTAGACTTATTTTCTACGATTAGATAGCTACTGGAAATCATGGGAAATGAGTTGTAGTCACAGCTAGTTTGTGGTTGAGCAAAAACTAGAATCGCACCCCCTGAATCCAAGTTCGTGGCTCTGTTCCAAACCCACTTTGTCTTATGGGACACACACAAAGCATATATATAGAAAAACAAAAAAAAAATATATATAAATAGCATAAATTTGTATCTTAAGTGTAGACTGCATATATTATTGACCATGACAATCCGGAGTTCTTGGGGGGTGGGAATATTTGGAGTTAACTCACAAAATGTAAGGATGTTTTTAATGCTTAACTCTTTTTTTTTTTTTAATAGAAAGTTCAAAATGTTCCTAGATTTTCTTTCTTTAACATAATATACTCAAAAAAAAATTTAACCTTCTCTTTATGAGTCAGAAACATCACAAACATGTTACTGAGATGTACTAAAGATAGGGTTTCAGAGGCAGATGTGAACAGGAAGGAGTGTGTACTATAATGAATGGTAGTGGCCCTGAACTTACTCTCTTGGAGGTAATTCTTTTAAATGAGACATGAAACACAGACCACTGCATAATATTAAGGTATTTAATCAACAGTCCAAGTACCATCTCCTAAGTGGTTAGTCACTCTTAAGAATGATCATTTCCTTTGTTTCATTTTACTCTTAACCATCACCAAACCAAAAACCAAACCCACTGCTGTTGATTCTGACTCACAGCAACCCTTAATATGACTTCTTACCTCTAGTACTTTTACCATTCTCAATTTCTGATACAGAAATGTGTTGCATAAAAATATTTTCACTAAAAGGTATTATAATGAAAGTCACTTATAGTGAAAACATTACCTTAGAAGATTGATGAGACTTGTTTCTGTTTATACATTTTTATAATAGGCATAAATTGGCCAATAGCTTTTCTAGCTATTTAAATCAATCAGGTAAAATGTTATACAAATTAACTGAAACCACACTGCTATATCTTGATTACAAATGTCAAATTAACTAAAGTAACATAAAATGACAAAGATCAAAGTCAGTTTTTGCTGTGAAGATGACCTGTGAAAAGACAGATTTAATACACACAAATATCATAATTAACAAAAGCATGTGGCCAGACAAAAAGCATATGGTTCTTGCTTTGAGTTTTATATTTTAGAAAATAAAATAATTAAAAAACACTTACTCTTTGTTGCTTGTAGTGCTTAAACATTCTAATGCAGTGTTCAATGATAAATAGCAAGTAAATGCCTCCTAGAGCAACAAGTCCTTTCAATACAGCATCATATTCTTCCAAAAACTTCTTAGATTCATGCCCATGAGAATGTCCATGCCCATGTGCATGTTGATGACTGTGATCATGTCCACCCTGAGACTATTAACAAGAAGGAAATATTTTAAACATGTAATTGAAATTATATTTAAAATTTGCAATTATAATCTCCTGGAGGACACAAGAAAAGTACCTTTTAATTTCTTAAGGGCTTTCCTAAATACTGTCCCATTTAAAGATAAGTAGTCTTCCATTTTATTTGCTTTATTCAGTGGCCTGGAAAGTACAATATTCCATAATAACTCTAAAACAATGACCACAAACGCCTACAGAGTTAAGATACATACAACTGGGAGTGATAGGTCCTTTGTAAATTGGAATGAATATGACACACTTAAATGCCTAAGATTTAGTAAAAATAAAACAAAACATACGAACTAATTCACCAGTAGGTTATTACTTGTGACTCCTTGTAATCTGACTCCACATTTTTATAAGATCCTTCTTATAAATTACTTCAAGGTGGTGATGAGATGCTACCTCTACATATATTGTGGACATTAGCAAGAACCAAAAAAAACCAAACCCATTGCTGTCAAGTCGATTCCGATTCATAGCCACCCTATAGGACAGGGTAGAACTGCCCCATAGGTTTCCAAGGAGCGGCTGGTGGATTCAAACTGCCAACCTTTTGGTTAGCAGCCGTAGCTCTTAACCACTGCGCCACCAGGGCTCATCAGCAAGAGTGCATCCTTAAATATGTGTGTAATTTTCTATATTTTAAAGCTTTAACAAAAATAAATACACAGGAAATAAAGCAAAATTTTAACACTGTCAACATTAAAGTTTCACAATATTAACATTACATTAAAGTTTCACAATATTAACATTAGAGAACTAGACTTAAGTACTATTTTTCTTCCTTGCAAGATTTATTTGAATTCCTTCCCTATTTGCTAATGGCCAACAGAAGCAGTTTCTAAACTTCTCGAAGGTGTTAAGAAGAGTCAAAGAGGTAAGGGCTATGTTAAACTAATCCTTCTTAAGCAAACGTAAGTTAAACAGGACTTAAACACTGTTCCCACTTCAACTGCTCTTATCACGCCCAGTTCCTAAAGAGACTGTTGCTGTTCCTGATGACCGGGTGAAAAGGGTAACGGGTGGAAGAAAGGAGGAAATGAGTAAAAATTAATATCATGGTCTTAAGATCCATTAATCAATTCATTTAAAAAAAAAAAAAAAGGTAATGCCACATACATTGTTTTAGATACTAGATCTAGGATCTCAACCAAGTGTGTAGAAGGGGTACACACAGCACTCAAATATAATCCTGTCTCCCAAACTCCAGAAGAGGGGAGGTAATAATATAAAAAAAAAAAAAGTCAATACCAAAATTTTATATGTGGAAAGAAAAAAGTCCTGTTGTTTTTATAATGTAAAGTAAAAATAGCAACACTAGACCAAGTATTGTTGGCTGTAAGAGGCAGGTTTTAATAGGTCGATAAACACGGCACTAGGAGTAGGGGCTTGGGATCATATCATCAGAAGTGTCCCCAAGGAGAAGAAAATAAGTAGCATGCAGGTGAAAAGATACATGCCCCCATGTAAAAAGAGATAAAGCCTAAAATACTTAATTGAGTTGTATCTGCCTCTTCCTGCTTAAATAAAGATGTCTGTGGCATATTGGCTATATGCACAATCATTACAAGACTTCTCATACATTTCTTCTAAAGGCTTTCTTGATACACCATACAGGTAAAGAGACATACTACTCATTGACTTTTAAGTATTCATTTTCAGAACTGCTGATATAGCAAATTTTATCCAATGAGCATTTTTAAAGACTGGTACTAATCAGTCTTTGGTATTATTTAAGAACCTAATGATTCAATTGATTAAAAAAAACACTGCTATTAAAACTGTGAAGATGGAAAAAAAATTACTTCATTCTATTAAGTAGATCAACACAAATACTAGATTAGTGTGTTACGGCTTGCTAATGAATGCTTTTACTTAATATTTTCATTTTTAATTTTTTTAAGATTAAAAAGATTTCTTACATGGGGCAGTAGATGAAGAAGGGCATCTCCACTCATTGTTCCTACAGCTAGCGCAACAAGGAATGTGAGAAGGAATTTGAAGCATCCTTGGTTAATGATGGGAACCAAGATCACGCCTAACAAGGAAAGCAGGCTAATGACAGTGATAGAAATGATACCACAAATCCATGCTGTAGGAAAGAAATTGTCAACATTAGTATGACAATACAAACAAAAAAAAAACTCCAAAGAAGAATAAACAAAAGATAAATGAGTCCTGGAAGGCAGATATATCTTACCCCGACCATGCTTTTAAGAAGCCTTATATTATGGCTTTGCTGTTTAAAGCAAAACAAAATCCCGTAACATAACTTGACCATTTAAAAAAAGAACCACGCAACTCAGACCAATTATGAATAGTACCTTCAGGCTCACCATATTAGGAACAGTGACTTAAAATGACTTCAGGCTGTGATTCACTGTTAATATCTAGACTGTAAATAATTTTTTCCCAATGTCCAAAGGCAGTCACACCAATAGAACTGTTTAAAAGAATGTAATTATAAGTCTCCTGCTAGTATTAAAGGAGCACAAGTGTCTAATGCATTGTCATCTTTGTAAAACTTTCTAATACAAAGTTAAGAAATTTAACACATCAGCCCAAAATGGAAGTATATGCACCAGGGAATAACTAAAAAGTCTTATTACTGATAGCTTCACTGTGTTCATTTTTTATCTTACAAGGATAATTTACTCCTGTTTACCTTGGTATCTTCTCTTCCATACCCAGTTCTCCAAGTTCCCTCTCCTCCAATTTGACCTTCTATATAATCTACCATTTATAACTATAACTGGTTCAGAATATAAGAGAAATATTTTCACAGTATGGCTTGTGACAAACATAGTTATGGCAGGGAAGTGGAATTCTGAATGCATTTCTTTTTCCAGGAGGCCATTCATAAGGAGATAAGAGGTGTGGGGGGAGCACTTTTATTTAGAAGGTGGGGATTACTTTCTATTAATGGTCTAAAAATAGAAGTGTTTTTAGTTCAAAAAATCTTATAATACATATCTACAGAAAATTTCACTGGAGAGTGACAATTTTGTAAAGGCTTTAATCTAAAGTGCTATTTTTCTAGTCAAATCTGACAAAACTATAAATCTGCTAAAGAATTTTATATTAAGTCTTGTAATAAGAGAACAAAGAAAAAAATGCATCTGCCTATCAGGATAACTTGAACGTTTCAAAGACAAGCAGAAGTAAAGATAAGTAAGGATATGAAACTTAAATGATCCACTAAGTGCTCAACTTTATCAATAAAATTGTGTTTATCCAGTGGACATTTTAGTCACTACCTAAAAACATTAACACTATTACTAATTTCTCATTAGCTCACAGGGTGGAGGCAAGGGGAGCAGGGACGGACAAAGGACTTATAATTAAATGGGAAAAGTTGAAGTTAATAACAGAAGCATTACCAGAATATAAAATGTCTCTTAGAGAGTAATACACCCCTTTGGCTTTCCAATTATATTTTTCCTTAATTTGACAATAATCCAATCTAGAAGCAATCTACATCAAAGCAAACAACCTAAAAGCAACTTCAAATAAGAACTTAAAGAAAAACATGCACCGAGACTCTGAAAAGCCAATAACAAAACTCTCCTCTGTAGGAGAAAAAATAACTGTATATGCCCACTAATTTAAATATATGTGGACAGGATTCACCAGAACTACAGGTAAGACTCAAAATACGCAATATATACACAGTAAACAAATTTGATAACTTTTATTAGAAATTTTTTATTAATAGAATTATTTTGGCCAAAAATGCAACAAAATTAGTCACCAAAATTACCTAATATGTCTTTTTTTATTTTATTCTTATGCCACAAATGTCCAAGAAAATTCATATAACCAGGTTAAGATGGTGAATTAGAATCTGTATTAGCCAAAATCTAGTTGGGTAAATCTTATTAACCTGGTTTATTCTTTTTTCTAAGGTTATACTACATTCTACATTACAAAATATATCTTCATTTGTTTCTGGATTTGCCTAGTAAGACATTTACAATAGAAATTAAATTTCTGAATCTTAATATAGAAACAATACCATTAATTTGATACAACACACATTTGAGATAATAACTTCTACAATATACATTAACAAGCTAATAAAATATTAGCATTAGAATATGCTTTATAAATTTTTTAATTATGAAATGTAAGACCATATTAAAATAATATATACTACTCTTATAAGCATTATTATAAAAATCTAATCATTACAGAGTTAAGAGAAAATGTGATTCTATTCTCTAATAATTAAAACTAATATCTGAAAATAAACATTTATTCTAAGCAAGTATTTCCTTTCTAGGATTCTCATATATTAACTTCTGGTGAGAGTCTTAAATATGAAGAAGAGTCTAACAGAGTCTATGTAACTACAAACATTTTGCAATGTTCTGGGAAAATTATTCATAGTTTCAAATGACTTTTGGTCAATCAGCCAAAAATTAAGTCACTAAATGAGAAGTTAACCAAAATATAATTCAGTGAAAATCGGTATGTCATATGGTATGTATGAAAGGATCTATGAATTCATATGTACACATACAGGTACATATCACAATACGATACATTTCCAGGCACAATTTCTTATATATCAGCTGTGATAACCACACCCCTTGCTTGACCACTTGAGAAATGCTTTGAAGTCCACCTGATGATTAGAAAATCTTTGGCATTTGTGATATTTAACATCTGAAACTCAAAAATTACAAGAAAACAACATAATCCCAACAAAGGAGAAGAAAGCCTTACACAAATCAATCTAGGGTCACAGCAATGCCCAACTTCAGGGGACACCATTCCCACTGTATTTTTGAGAGTGTCATTTCCTTATAACACAATTTGAATGGTACCCCCTGGAGTTGTTCAATGAACTGGTATTACATGGAACTTGGAAAGCTGCCTTTTGAAAATGCGTTGAGAGTTATGTATACGTATGTTGGTGTGTGTTAAATGACTGATGTTTCTGGTTGATTGGTTATATGGTAAAAGTTGTCAACACACTGGTTATTGAACAACATAAAGTCAAGAATCAGAAAAGACTTTGCTCTTAGGTAAAAATTAAATAATCTTCGAAAGACTTTGAACGTCTTAGTAACTCTTTAAAAGTGTTTTTCCATTCCTTCAACAAAAGGAAATGGTGTGCTTGTTGTTAAAATATTTTGAAGGCCACCTTCAAAAGATTTTCAATTGATTTAAAAAAAAAAAAAAGTCCTAGGTCTATAGAGAATTCCCTTTCAACAGCATTTTTCTTTTTCTTTTTTTTTGTACATAAAACACAGAACACAATTTGGATTATTATAAACTAAAATAACCCATTGCCATCAAGCTGATTCTGACTCATAGTGACTCTACATGACAGAGTAAGAACTGCCCCATAGGGTTTCCAAGGAGTGGCTGGTAGATTCGAACTGCTGACTTTTTGGTTAGCAGTCGTAGCTCTTAACCAATGAGCCACCAGAGCCATTAGAATGTAGTCTAATTACTCCTTTGTGTAGACATTACCTTGATTGATAGAGTTGGAAATTATAAACATATTTTCAGAGATGCCAATTATTCTGCTCCTTTCAAAAAATAACTTTCTTAATTCCTTGCTTACTATTCAAACTGGGAACATACTAGCTACTGTCTCATTGTATATAGCTAGAAAGGACTTTAATAATCTACACCAGCATTTCCCAAACTGGGCTCATATAGTTCTATGAGATCTTAACGGTGGTATTCCAAAGAGGAAGGGAGGTGAGAGTTTAATAATCAAATACGTTTTGGTAATGCTAGGTTAAACATGTTCCTTTAGAGCCTGTAAGTTTAATGAAAAATGCGTATCTCTGAAAGGGGAACACAATATGCAGCATTTCTCTGACTTACTTCATCATGAAACCTCTTAGTATATATGAGCCAGTATCCTGCAGAACACAATCTGGAAAATGCTAATGAAGACCCAAGGTCCTACTACTTTACAGATTTGCTCACTGACACACAGAGATGTTAAATGTTAAAATGGCAAAGTCAAACAAACTACACCCAAAGTCCTCTAACTCTTCTTAATCCACCGTTTTCTCCACTAAATCACAGTAGTTTCAGAGAATTCTTGGCCAAGTGATTTATTTATCACTTATGTATTTACGTCATAGAGGTGGCTTCACAGAAAAGAGGATCTATGAGAAAAGTAAGTACAATTAAACATGAAAATAAGAATGAATATTAACTTTATTTAATTCAAGTGGCAATCAATGTTTCAAAATTTGAGCTAATTATTTAGGATAGAAGGAGTGTGGCAAAAGAATACTACAAACCAAATTTGTAACTATTAGACTATCCTTATTTATTCTTATTTCAATGCCACCTAAAAGTATCTATTAGTAAATTTAATTAAAAATATTTATTTCCTATCTAACATAAGTTATCTCTTAATTCTTGCCAGTGCCAAGAAATAAAAAGGGGGTAAAGAACTAGATTTTCTTTCTCAGATAAATCAGAAAATTTCCATTTATTTCCCATAGATTGCAACTTTTCCATAACAACTGCTTCATTAGCAAAACATCTCAACTCTACCCCTAAGGTTAAGTGCACGCTATTACAGATACATGTTTTCTTATCCTAAATTATTTATTGTTGAGTTTTTAACAATTTTAGCTTTCTAACAATAAAAATTTAAGTGATAGTGTAAATCTTGTTCAAGAAAACTACAATCCTTTTGACCTATGAGAAGAAACAGTCGTTTTGAATTCACTGTACTTGAAATGCTTTCTTGTACTATTAAATGCTTATTTTTAGAATTTATAAGTTATTTAAATTTAGGCTTACATAAATTGTACCATAATTTCTTAGGTGTAGTAAAGAATAATTCAGGTAGTAAAACTTTTGATTTCTAACCAAATTGTTGTTCTTTTTCAATCACAATTTTTTGGTGTGATGCAAAAAAAACGGGGGGTATCTTTTGTAAAACTTATACAGAACTAACAATACACAAACTATTAAATTCAACTAGTGAATGTTTTCTTTATTTGTACCCAAGATACCATACGCAATAAAAAAAAGCGCTAAATGTCTGAAACAAGCTTCACTTATTCTGCAAATTAGGTTGCTTAAAACGTTAAAAGGTCTTCAAGCTTAGTTATTCACCAACTCCCTTTCTCATTATCTAGAGAGAAAATGCATTCTTTTAAAAAGAACCGCTCATCTGTGGAAACTTTCTAATTAACTTGGTTCAAAGCATGTGCAAGATGGCAGTTTTCTACACTGTTTCAGCATTTTAATTGGCAGAAAATGCTTAGCAGCCTATTCACAACCCCCCTTGGTAATTAAGCTAGGGTCAACTCTGTTTCAAAGATTGGCTCATTTAGTCATAAACGATTTCTACTATACACAGTATATAGCATATTTGGTTTACTGCAGTCTTTGAACAAAGTTAATGAGGTAGTAGCTGTGTCACTATGGGAGATTTATATAGAACAAGTTAACCTTTCTTAATGGTGCAACAGTCATTAAAAATAACTACTTGCAGGGCATTCTCACTAACAATTATTAACATTTATCAGGAGATAATTAATTTAAGCTTCATTTCTGACAATGCTGATAACCACCTGCAAACAACTAATCAATATCTACTATTAGTAATGTATTTGTTTTCAAAGCAAGTACAATTTCCTCTAAGGCTTTTCTGATTGAATAGGCTGTTACTTTCAATGTTACTATAGTCAAGCATCTGTCAACATCTTCACTACAATATATGGATTATGGCAATACTGCAAAATTGACAACTCTAATTAAATAATCCACAGCTGATATCAAAACAAAGAACTAGAATTTCTTAGAAGCCTTAGGAAAACAAAAACAAAAACTATTAGTTTTAACTCTAGACGAGACAAACTTGTCAGTCTTTTTTTTCCTGTATGGAACAAATCTATTTTATTTTTAATTAAGTTAAAATAATCTCAGACCTAGCTACCCCTTTCTCCTGGCGCATGAGAATTCGTATTATAGGCACCTGACAAGGACTGTGCCTCTCAAGAGGTTTACTCATCTACAAAGAGCAGCGAGCATGAAGCCAGGAAAGAGGACTGATTTTATCTGCCCTAAGATCAGAATACAAACCTAGTGGATCCACTTTCTCTGCCTTTACTGATCTTCCTAGACTGAACTCAGCTTGTCTACCAGAAGATTATTCTTAGATTTTTGTTACAAACTAGTCAACATTTATATTAATAAACCCATTGTTGTCTAGTCGATTCCAATTCATAGCAACCCTATAGGATAGAGTAGAACTGCCCCCATAGGGTTTCCAAGGCTGTAAATCTTTACAGAGGCAGACTGCCATACCCTTCTCCCATGGGGCGGCTGATGGGTTCAAACTGCTGACCTTCTGGTTAGCAGCCAAGCACATAACCACTGCGCTATATTTACATCTCTCCCACTTTCCTGCCTGTGCCTGCATTATCTGTCAAATCACTATTAAATGTAACTCTCTTCATCTCTCTGCCACTTACAATCTAACAAAACACACTTAAGAACCTCTTTAGCAGGAAGTAGTAGAGCACAGTACTAGACCATAGTGGTTATGGTTATAGCCTTTAGATGGAGAATCAACCAACCAGTTGCTGTCCAATAGATTCTCACTCATGGTGATCCTATGTATGTCAGAGTAGAATTGTGCTCCATACTGTTTTCGGTGGCTTATTTTTTCAGAAGTAGTCGGCCAGGAGGAGTCCTGGTGGCACCGTGGTTAAGCACTCGGCTGCTAACCAAAAGGTCAGCAGTTCAAACCCACCCAGCCTTGCCACAGGAGAAAGATGTGGCACTTTGCTTCCATAAAGATTTACAGCTTTGGTAACCCTATGGGGCAGTTCTACTCTGTCCTACAGCGTTGCTATGAGTCAGAATCGACTTGAGGGTTTGGCTTGGTTTAGATCACCAGGCCTTTCTTCTAAGGCACCTTTGGGTGGACCCAAACTGCCAAACTTTTGGTTAGCAGTGGAGCATGTTAACTGTTTATAACACCCAGGGACTCCTGGATGGAGAATACCCTAGTTTGTATCACAGCCCTGCTCTTTGCCAGCTGTGTGACCTTGCACAATTTACTTAACTTCTCTAAGCCTCCCTTTCCTCACCAAATGGAAGTTAACAAAAGTGCCTATTTTGTGAGTTTAATAGATTAAATGAAATATTCTTATAAAAGTGCTTAATATAGCACCCAGCACATGGTAAGGTTAACAATAAATATAGGTTAGTGGATTACTTTATCTAAAGTTATTTTACTATTGCAGAGAAATTAAGCAGGAATAAAAATGCAGGTGCCTAGGAAACTTACTTTACTATGTACTAATAGCATTTCCTTTTATTTGTGTTCTTTCAAGATTTAAGGAGTATCTCTACTCCAAATAAAATGCTTATATACTAGAATTTTATATTCAGAAAAATATGGTTATCTCATTCCTTTACTTTGAATTTTTAAAAATTCTGTCCTTTCAATCCTTGGATTTGCCAGAATTCCGTTCTTAGTCCATATTCATACCTATCATTTTAGTCATTTTAATTACTATTTTCTAGTACCACTACTTCTTGGGCATATCAAATAAGTGTATTCATTATACTAAGTTCACGGTACTTCTATCATGGTTTCGCCCATGGTGAAGATGTTTTTGTTTTGAATCTATACCTTAAAAATCTCAATCATTCTAAGAATATTTTATTTTCAAAGGCTGATTGATATTTTCATATAATGATCTTCAAAGGCTCATTTTTAACAAGCGTCTTTCCTGGATTATAACTGAAAGCATTATAGAGTAATACTAAGCAATTTACTCATTCAGTCAATATATGAGTGCTTTTTTTAAATATTTTTTAAACTTTTTAAAAAAATTGTATTGCGGTAAAAAATATATAACAAATGGTGGAATATTTGGAAACACAGTGGTGATGGTTGCACTATATGATGACTGTAACCAATGTCACTGAATTGTACATGTAAAAAATGTTGAGTTGGCAAATGTTTTGTTACATACAGTTTTGTCACAATAAAACAATTTATATATATATATAACAAAAAAGGTGATATCGCAACCGTTTTTAAGTATATAATTCAGTACCATTACACTCACTGTGTTGTGCTACCGTTAGCACTATCCATTTCCAAACATTTTACATGACCTCGAACAGAAACTTAGTACCCCTTCAGCAATAACTCCCATTCCTTCCTGCCCCCTGGCACTAATGAACTTTTGTCTCTGTGCATTTGCCTAATCTAGATAGCTCATATAAATGGGATCATACAATATTTGTTCTCTTGCGTCTGACTTATTTCACTCACTGTTTTCAAGGTTCATCCGTGCCATAGCATGTATCAGAATTTTATTTTTCTTTAGGGTTAAATTATATTCCATTGTATGTATATATCACATTTTGTTTATCCATTCCTCTGATGATAGACATTTGGGTTGTTGTTTCCACCTTTTGGCTATTGTGAATAACGCTGCAATGAACATTGGTGTACATGTGAGTGCTTGCTTTTTGCTATGAAGTACTTTTATCCTAGGCATCAGGGATACTAAGACCCAATCATACCTTTAAGCAACTTGAAGTACAACAAAGAGATAAGTGATCCAATTATTACAGTTCTCCAATATCTCTACTAGAAGGAGGTATCCAGAGGGTGACAAGGAAGGGGACTTAATTAAGCCTAGGATGGTCAGTAAGCTATCCCAGAGGGATAATCCTTGAGCTGAATCTTTGAGGAATAATAGTAGTCAGCTAGGCAAAGAAGGACATTCTCAGCAATGGGCTTAGAATATGAAAAAGCAGAGAGAAATGAGAGAAAAAAGGTATAATCCATTAGTTAGTAGTTTGTTATGGCTAGAGTCAAGGAAGGAGAAAGAAACTGAATGGTGGGGGATAAGGATGGAAAGGTAAGCAGGTAAGGATCATACAATGGAATGCCTTGTGGGCCAAGTAAACAACTCTGAACTTTGAGACAATATAACATAATGAACAGTTTATTTTATATTGGAGCATATAAAGTATATTAGAAAAAAAATGTAACTAGCACATCACATCAAAACCATGTTCTCATGGATATTACTGCTTATAATGTAAAGGATAAAAAAATTAGAGATATAATGAAAATATTAAATACTGTACAGATATATGGAAAAAATCATAAAAGTAATACTACGTTTGGAAGACAAATTTGGAAGTTTGGATTTACTTTAGAAAGGAAGTATTGTAAGGCTATTTTGAGGAGGAAACATTCAGATCTCTTACTTACCTGATGCATGTATATTTGACTTATCTTCAGGAACCAGATTTTTATCCTTGTTTAAGTCTTCAACTAAAAGTCTGTCAAAATGTTCAATACAAAGTCTGCTGTCAATCTGATATAATAACGCAGGGCAAAGGCATGTAAATAGATCAGGTGAGATAGGAGAGCTGGCATCATGACCATAGTATTTTAACAACTGAGTGACATTCAAACACTGCAAAGAAATTAACAAAACAAATTAAGTATAAGAGTATCTTAAAGAAGATTATGCAGAAAAATAAATTACTGTTTAATAGAAAATATTTTAAATATTACTTGAAAATAATCTGTAATAACAAATATCTATTACAAATAAAACTTCTGATAGGAATTTATGACAAGGATATATTCAACTAGATTACCCAAGATTTTTTTTATGGATTTTAACCTTTTTTCCACTCCAATGCATGAGAAATAATGACTTTCTGCCACTCATAAGAATGATTCACAACTATATTCCCAAAGATTCTTACAGGGTGAGGAGAAAATTCATTTCCCTGGTCAGATTACAATGATCAATGATTTGAGATTCTTATTGGTGAAGTAGTGTTAAACAGACTTAGAGTACTTTAATAACTTTATATTCAAATAAACCATAATACAGCCATTTCCACTGTCTAAGACATCCCAAAAGAATATTATATTGGGAAATTCTAGCCCAGTGCTAGTTGAGACAGAAACAAAGCTGGCCATCCCGTGGAACTTTAAAAACAAAATAAAACAGGAAAAAAAATATGTGTGTATATATATATTTATATATATATATATGTGGGTTCTATCATACAGTAAAAATAAATATCTAAGTTAAGGCATAGGAGGCAGTGCTGCCCCTCTTCACACATGTCCACTCTGGTTAAATGTATGTTTTTTGACTTGTTTAGCTCACCACATGATTCTACCTAAGGCACCAAAACAATCAACCAAACAACTGAAAAAAAGAAGATTCCTCTCAGGTCTTAATTATCATGAGGTACTACCCTATCCAAAACAGAACGTTTCCAGAAATCATAAGAATTCCTAGTAGGCATTAGACTTGTGATGATACAAAATAAACAGGTCTTATAACGCAGACCAGACCCACAGGTCTGCTACAAAGAGTAAACATGAAAGATAATGTCCACTTATTATCAACAAAAGATTCTAGGTCATTATCTACAGTAATAAGTGAATGTATTCTTAAAAAGTACACTATGATTTTAATATAGAAATTAATATCAGTGTTTTAAAACTGCTAAAACCCAAATATCTGATGATTTATCCAGGAAAGAAATACAAAGATATTTACTTAGATGTAAAACATATCTCAATGAAAAAGAAAACAACAGGTGAGGTCATTTTCCACACTTGATGTTGAAGCAGGGTACAGAAGCCTGCCCACCTACTGCTTTCTATACATATAAACAACAAACATTCTGAATCAACGAAGTTTTCTAAACTTTAATTTTAAAAAAGTGTTAAAAATTAGAATAAACAAGAGCACTAATATGACTTTAATGAAACAAAAATAAATGTGTTTAAAGTGAATGATTAAAAAAAAAAATCAAGGAACCAATCAAGTACAAAAGTATCAGAAAGAGTATGAAAATTAAGAAGGAAAACAGGACCATCCCTCTACTGTCGGGGGTTTCCCATGATAGTGTCTTTCCCCTAAATCTGTCAAAGGCAGGGGAAAAGACTAACAATGTCAGCAACTAGCCCCTATCCTAAAGCGCCACAGGGAAAAAAGCTGACTAAATGTAAAACACCTGACACTGGAGCTAGAGCAATGACCACTCAATAATTAAGTCAATAAATTAATAATTATGAAAAAGAAACTGCTCTGGTCACTTCTCAAGAGCACAGGCTGTGGCAGTGGGGGTGGGGGGGTACAGGTGTCAATTTTCAAATATCTACAAACCAGCTAATGGTAATAAAGTGAAAACTAACTTGTGAAGTAAGTCATAAGATAAAAAAAAAAATACAATTAAAGACATCTGTTCTCTAACAACCTTTAAACATTTAAATTTGAGAAACTCAAATTTGAGAACATAAGAAGCAAACAATGTAAGCAAAATTCCAGACAAAATCTTTAATCTGATTTTGGTTCCTTAATGTATTTTGTTCAGGACTGTTGCCCAGAAATACGTTTAAATAACTATTCCACTGTTAACCCTCTCTTTACCTAAAATATTTCACAATTATTGAGAATTAAGGAGCAACTATCAGACATCTTTTTCTACCTACCTCATCATGTTGATGGTCATCTTCATTATGATCTTTGTGACTAGCAGCTGAATAAATTGCACTTTTTTTAACATGTGGTGCTTCTCGCTTTCTAGTATGTCGAAGTTCACCTTCATTATCAGGATCAAGATCTTGGTGTCCATGACCAGGATCATGACCATTATGTTCTGAAAGATGTGCATTAGAATGAACGGGGTTATGTACACAATCAGGTTTGTGGACCCGATTATGCTCATAGTGTTCACCCTGATCACAGTTAGGAGGAAAACCTGGTGTGATAACCTCAAAATTGTCATTACTTTTCTTTCCTTTTCTTCTCCTCTTCTGTTTCTGTGGCTTAACTTCACGTTGTTCCTGAGTTGTATTGGTCTCTGTTGATGGTTCATGGCTAGGCTCCCCACGCTCACCGTGAGTAATGGAATCATTATGAAAATGGCGAGTAGTGTTACGATCAAGGTGATGGTGTGAACGATGGTGATGACGTAAGCGACGATTATGGTCATGCGTATGTTTACCATCAGATTTTACAGATACTTCAATTGTCTCTTTCTCAGGATCACATTTATGATTTCTTTTTGTTGATATACTAGTCACAGTTTGATTTTCTGGATTTAAATGATTATGGGAATGCTGGTGGTTATGTGAGTGAAAATGTTTTCCCTCTTGAACTGCCAAAATATCTAAGTGAGAAACATGATCGTGGCCAAGATCCTCATGATTAATCTCAACTACTTTTATCTCTCCAAGGCCCAAGTTTGTTAAAAGTTTCTCCAGACCAAAAAAGGATAACCTCCCATTTTCACCATAACGGTAAAAAAGTTTTTCAATATAGCACTTTTTTTGATTTTCAGCATCCAGCACTGAATATTTGCTTGGCTCCGATTCTGTCATTCCACAATGGTGTCTGTGATGCTCTTCAGGACCATGGTCATGGTCTTCATGGCAATGGTTGCAATGATGGAAAATAAACGTCAGCAAACAAATGAGGCAAAATTTTGTGTGCATATGTACCTTCATTTCTATTTTTCCTAAAGGGATTAAAAAAGAGAGACAAGCAGTAATTTTATACTTAGACACATTCAAAATAATCAAATTCTACAGCAATTGCTATTCTACTAGGCAAATGCTATACCCAATTCTTTAATGGCTATGAATCATTCTTTCCTCTACCCATTCCGTATAAAAATGCCCCTTTTAACCTATCAAAATATGTACAGTTCTTTGATTAATATAAACTGTTCAAGACTCACCTACAAGACTATTCTCATCTCTTGTAAGTACAACACTAAACAGTCTATACATTTATATAGAAATTGCTGACTTCTTTACTAGCTGGTCCTTTACAGAAAAAATTTTGCTGGTCCTTGTATTTGAGGTCCTGGTCAGTGCAATGAAGGAGGAAAAAGTAAAATTTTGAAATGTATAAATAAGAAAGAAATAAAACTGTCATTATTCACAAATGACACAATTGGTCACTTGTTGTGTTGTAGCTGTTGTGTGCCATCGAGTTGATTCCAACTCGTAGTGACTCTGTAAGACAGAATAGAACTGCCTCACAGGGTTTCCAAGGCTGTTATCTTTACAGAGGCAGATTGCTACATCTTTCTCCGATGGAGGGGCTGGTGGGTTTGAACTGCTGACCTTTCAAATAGCAGCCAAGCGCTTAACCACTGCACAATGAGGGCTCAAAACAATCTATAAGAACTAATAAGTTATTTTAGTACGTTTGCTGGATATAAACCTAAAATCAACTACATTTCTATAAACCAGCAACAATTAGAAAATAAAATTAAAAAGCAATACAATTTAGAGTAGCAAATAGCTAAGAAAAAATCTAACAAAAGATGTGTAAGACCTTTATATAGAAAAGGATCACATATTATTGAGAGAAACATTTAAATAAATGGATGAATTTATCATGTTTATGATTCAAAGACTAATGTAAATTAATGTGACTTCTACCAAAGTTGAGCTATAGATTCAATGTAATCCCAACCAAAATCTCGAGTTTATTCTGTGAGAATTGATGAGCTATTTCTGATACTTATATGTAAATAAAAAGGGCTATCAAAAGACACGCGCATGAATATTCACAAAAGCATTATTCACGTAGCAGCTCACTACTGGGAAAAAAATATTCATCATTAGTAAAATGGATAAATAAAACAGAATAATCTCATAATGGAATACCACATAGGAATTTATATGGAAGAGCAAAAACCCAAAAATAACCAAGACAATTCAGAAATTAGCAAGGCAATAAATAACAAGACTTCTTTTTATAAAGTTAAATAAAATAACATACAACTGGCACAAGGATAGACAACAGACCAGTGGAGCAGAACAGAGTTCAGAACCAATAATATTGATTATAAAAAATGGTTCCTCCTCACACCACACACAAAAGTCAATTCCAAGAGGATTAAATACCTAAATGTGAAAAGCAAAACTTTCAACAAGTTTTAGAAGAATATACAGGAAAATATTATGACTTTAGGGTAGGAAATAATTTGTTGTAAAGACAGAGAAAGCACATGCCATAAAGAAAAATTTAGATTAATTAAATTCTTTAAAAAATTTTTCTACAAGAAAGGACACCATAAACAAAGCTTATGACAAGCCACACACTAGAAGATATTTGCAGTGTGTATATAAACAATGTATATAAAAGACCAGTATCCAGAATATACAAAACATGTATCAATAAAGAAAAGACTCCAAAAGACAACTACACAAAGGCCATAAAGAGGAAAGCTAACTGAGCAGCAACATATGATTACTAGTACTCTAGAAAATGCACATAGAGATAATTCACCAAGATACTAATATGAAAAAATTAACGTTTCACAATACCAAAACCCAAACCCGTTGCCGTCAAGTCGATCTGGATTCAGAGACCCTATATGACAGAGGAGAGCTGCCCCACAGGGTTTCTAAGGTGTGGCTGGTGATTTGAATTGCCTACCTTTTGGTTAGCAGCCGAGCTCTTAACCACTGCATCATCAGGGTTCCCTGACAATACCAGGTATTAGCAAAAAATCTAATATGGAGAAATAGAAAATATTTTACACTGCTAGAGGGAGTATATATTGGTACAGCTGTTTGGGGGTACAATCTGACAACATCTACCAAAGCTGCGGATGAACACACTCTACAGCCCCCAAATTCCACTCCTACCCTAGACCCTAGAGAAACACTTGCCCATAAGCACAGGAAAGAAGTTCAAGAATCCTTATTGCAGTAATGTTGAAATGTTTTTTGTTTTATAATGTGAACCACCTTGTAACACAATGTTTTTGGTTGCAAACAACAAAATACTCAACTAAAAGTTGTTAAAAGAGAAAAATTTCACATAAAAATAAGTCAGGAGAAATGGGTGGCTTCAAACAATTATATTATCAAAAACCCAAGTGCTTTCACGCTGAGATTTGTCACCTCAGGATCTCAAGGTAATGGCTGTTGCTACAACCATTCCACCTTTGACAACCATATCCAATACTAGAGGATTTATTTTCATGCCTCTCTGTTCAGCCAGGGAGAAAATTTTCCTTGGAGCTCCTCCCAGATTTCTCCTTATATATCTTTGATCAGGACTATACTACATGCTCATGCCAAAAACAACCACTAGTAAGGAAGAATTACCATGATCGGCTTAGACAAATCAACATTCATTCTCCTGAGGCTAGAAAGGAGTCACCTTTCCTTAGTATACGGAGGAATATCCATAGAACTTGGGTGGTCTAAAAGCAAGGTGAAAGGAAGTAAATGAGGAATGACAGTTAATTATGCAGCTGCTAGTGCCTGCCACAAACCTAAATGCCCATTAATGGAAGAATGGATAAAAAATAAGCAGTGTATTTATATAATTAGAGACTACACTACAGTTAGAAATATATGACTATGAAGGAACACATAAAAATATGCGCAAATCTCAGAAACATATAATGAAAAGAATAAATTGCAAAAAGATTCCTTATATCATTTGTATTTGCATATTTAAAAATATGCAAAACAATACCTTAGTTTTGGATACATAAACATAAAAAACCAAAAACCTGTTGCCGTCGATTCCAACTCAAAGCCACTCTATAGATAGCAAGAGTAAAAAAATAGATGGTAAATTATTCTGGAGGGTGGTTATCATCTCAGGAAGGCAATCAGATGGAGGGGGTATGTATATTTAACTGCATCTGCAGTATTTCTTTAGAGAAAAAAAAAAAGATCCGAGGCAAACGTGGCAAATGTTAAATATTAAAGCAGGATAATGGGATTCAGGTGTCTGTCATATTCTTTTATGTATTTTCCTGTACATTTGATATGATACCACATAACCTATTATCAGTAGTTTATCAAAGTGTGGTTGCCGTAGAAGCAGGAGCAGTAGAACCATCATCAGGATCTCCTGGGAACTTATTAGAAATGCAAATTATTGCAACCCACCCAGACCTACTCAATCAGAAACTCAGGGGTAGGGCCCAGCCATATCTTGAATGAACTCCTCCTACCGAGTGTGAGAAAAGCTAGCTAAAATACGAGCGCACTATACAAATAAATCATCAAACACTTCCATTTATTTAGAATATTTTTGTCAAATGTTATGATTACCTGAATAAACTAGGTTGAATTATCACATATGGCATATATGGGCTAAGAATTTTAAAATTATATATTTTTCTTACAAAATACATGTTGGTCTATAAATATATGTACATATATATTAATTCCAAAGCTACATTCAATTTGAGGTTTTGCTTTTTAATTCAAACAGATCAATTTCTTACATAGTCTCATGGATAATGTCACCATTTAAAATGTATCAATTTTATTTGTACATTAATGAAGATAATTGGAGCCCTGGTGGCACAGTGGTTAAGAGCTACGGCTGCTAACCAAAAGGTTGGCAGTTCGAATCCACCAGCCACCCCTTGGAAACCCTATGGGGCAGTTCTAGTCTGTCCTATAGGGTCGCTATGAGTGGCAATCAACTCGAAGGCAACAGGTATGGGTATAATGAAGACAAAAGGGCATCAGTGATTAATACCAATCACTATAAAGCAGAAAGTGGATACATAATCATATTCCCTTAGCTCCCAAATATTAGTTACAATCTTTGCAGTTACCTTAGTTTTCCACTAGAATATGCTAGTGAAAGGTGATAGTCACAGTGATTTTGTCCCATTCATCTGACATACAAATGTCTTGAAGTTTCTTTAGTGCACATTATCTCACTGTCAAATGAACGGGTATCAGTGGTGGAAAATGAAACACGCACACACACAACCACGGGGTCTATATGAGCTTTAAATTGTCATTTGTCTCTACTTTTTAATAGTACTCAGTTTGCTTGCTGCAAAGATTTCTGAATATCTTGAGTCCCATAATTATTTACATACAAAAGGGCATCCTCAGAATGTTAAGTATGTGAATGACATGACAGGTAATCTTAAACCTATTCTAAGTAACTCATACACAAACTTTGCAACTTTCGTTTGGAACTGCTATTGCAGATGTGTGTTTAAGGATCATTAGCATAGGCTAAGGAGCTATTGTAAAGAAATCCCTCCTAAAAGGTAGCGGTGTAAGTAACAACCAAGTTTACTTCTCTCTCAAAATCAAAGACGACTGATGCTCCAGGTCTGTGGGCTCTACTCCAGTCATTCAGAGACCCTTAGTTTCTACATAAGGCTTATGTGGGTGCTTTCTAGCCAGTGGGAAAAGAGAAGAATGGAAATCTAGGTTCAGAGATTTCCTCTTAAGTAGCAAGTAGAAATTGCCCACACCACTTCTGCTCACATTCCACTGGCAAGAGCTCAGTCACATGGCCTCAATCAGCAATACGGAGGCTGGAAAATACAGTCTCAGCTACAACTTTACACACATGTTCTAAGGAAATTAAGGATCCTTTTCTACCCACAGCACAAAGAGGATCTTTGGGGTAGAGACAGAAATGGGGGAAACATTGCCCAAGTCCAAATCCCACTCAACTCTAAACATTGGCCTTGATAAGATGAAGCTTAGTCCTAGCCAAAATATTCTATCACATCTTTCGTGTTTCGGAGTTTTTCAAGTTTTCTGCATTGAGCATGTGTTAAAAGTTTTATTTTTTTTTTTTAAATTCAGCAAATATATACTGAGTTATCTACCTAAGAAATTCTACTAGACGCTGTGGACATCTATGTCTGATCTTACTGCACAAGAAAGGAAGAATGGATTCTGGTAAGTAACTAGTAATTGCCACTACATGTGTATTTTCATATTTTGCTGTCAATTTCTAGTGCATCATTAAATAGAGTTATAAGTTTTAAGTATTCTACCACTTCATAATTTCTACTTTAATGTGAAGAGGGTAATTTATAGTTAAGGAACTGAACTATTATTCTATTTAATTATTATACTATTTATGATGCAAATATTTTGCTTTTGACAAAAAGAAAAAAGTTCACTAATATTCTCCTCTATTTAACATTAATATCAAAACTACATATTTGGTAAAAATAAAGGTTAATACTTTGGTGTGGGAATTGACTGGGAGGAATCATGAAGAGGATTCCGGGGTGCTGTTAATGCTCTATTTCTTCACCCAGGTGTGGGGTGCACAAGTGTGTTCCTTCATGAAAATTCATGAAATTTTACACTTAGCATTTAGGTATTTTTCTGTAGATTATATTTCAACAAAAAATTTTATTTTTAATCCCTAAATTAAAAATATATTGTCTTAGTCATCTAGGGCTGCTACAACAGGAATACCACAAGTGGATGGCTTTAACAAAGAGAAATTTATTTCTTCACAGTAAAGCAGGCTAAAAGTCCAAATTTAGGGCATCAGCTCCAGGGGAAAGCCTTCTCTGTCGGCCTTCTCATCAATGTTCCCCCAGACTAGGAGTTTCTCTGCGCAGGGACCCGGTCCAAAGGACACACTCTGCTCCCGGTACTGCTTTCTTGGTGGGATGAGGTCCCTCTCTCTCTCTGCCGAGGTCCCTCTCTCTCTCTGCCGGCTTCTCCCTTTTATATCTCAAGAGACTGCCTCAGGACACAATCCAGTCTTGTAGATTGAGTCCTGCCTTACTAACACAACTGCCGCCCATCCTCCCTCATTAACATCATACAGGCAGGATTTACAAATTACTGGAAAATCACACAATACCGGGAATTATGGCCCAGCCAAACTGATACATACACTTTTGGGGGGACATAATTCAATCCATGACATACATATTTCAGTTTTCAACGAGTAAAATCAATAATATGCAGCTTCAAGAAACACATCCATACTTAAATCAGTCCCCAAGACGATTTTATTGTTTTATGTTTTATTTTAAAATAATTTAAGTCTCAAAAGAAACTGTAAAAATAAGACAGAGTTCCCATGTACAATTCACCCAACTTTGCCCAATGATAACATCTTACATAACCATAACAGATTTTCAAAACCAGGAAACTAACATTAATATAAAACTATAAACTACAGAACTTACTCTAACCTCACCAAGCCTTTTTTTCCAACATGCATTCTTAAAAATTACTGTGATAGAAAATCTACTTTTTAACCAGAAAGAAAAAGGTTATCATTGATAACTAGAGAATTTTGCATAACAAAATGCATGGTTATACTTAAGAGAAAAGTTAACTAGATTCTTAAGTGAAAGGAATGAGGGCTGGTAATCTCCACAGCAAGTTCTTTTTATAACGGCTTAACAAAAATCTCTAACTACAGGCTTTCTATTATAGTTTTTACTATACAACATGACAAGTTACAAATTTTAAAATATTTAAATAAATAAAATTAAACACCTATATCAAGAACCAGTTATGGAGTATACACTAATTGTTAACATTAAAAATTCTCCTACAGATATCTTGTCTAATACTTTCAAAGGTAATTATCTTTTATTTCATACAGATGACATAATAAAATCGTAGAAATTTTAAGATGAAAAGATCCTTAAATATATCTAGCGAAATGCTCTTATTTAGATTGATTTAGGAAATTAATATTAGAATCATTCATTCCCTCTCCTTGAGCATACAGAATGTGACCCAGCTGGAGCTGGGCTCACAAGGACTCACAAGGACACATTAGCTGGGCCCTGTGGTGTAAAGACAATAGCTAAGGTAATCTTGGAAAATATCTTTTAGGGAAACTTTCACATAAAGCTGATCAAACACAACACAGAAGACTTTCCACCCTTATCTTTTTCTATTAGCATTCAGTGCATAGAAATTCGTTGGACCGATGAAGACCCTCCTGACTCTCCTTACTGAAACCGGTACCAATGATTGTTAAGAAACACAATTCAAAATGTAGGATCACAGTTTCTAGCCAATCTGAAAAGGCTAAGCTTTCAATGATTTTGCCCATTTGTAATGTTAATATATACTGATGGCTCTGTAACTGTTCTTTGGACGCCAGCAGACATGGCTGTGGCAGCTGCTTGTCTGTTTTCCCATTCTTGCCTATTCTGTAATATTCTTTGGACTCAGGCAGACATGGCTCTAGCAGCATGTTTATCTGTTTTCCCATTTTTGTCTGTTCTGTGATATTTCCTTGGACTCGGGCAGACATGCCTCTGGCAGAGAATGGTTGTCCATTTCCCACTTCTGCCCTTTTGAATACATGCCGAATAAAACTTTCTTTTTGCTTTACTCAACTTTGTAATGTTCTTCCCCTACAACAACATACGAGAAATCTGAGACTCAGAGATCGTATACAGCATGATTAAGGTGATACATCAAGTCTGTGGCAGACTTGCACAAAACACAAGTCTCCAACTTCAAAAACAAGGGCACTTTTTACCATACCAGCTTATTTGTACATCTTAAAATCAGAACACTGAGAGATCACTACTAATGTGACCTGTCTAAAATATACTACAACGACTTTAAAAACAAAAACCTGTCTCCTACTACTTAGTCAATACATATAAAAGGTCAGTTATGAATTTCATTACTTAACAAAATGATTGCTTGACATAAAAAAAAAAAAAAAGCTAATAAAAACGAAAACAATACCATTTCCAAGACTAGGTTTCTGTTACTGGAGATGCCAATCAATTTAGTATATCCTGCATATTATCTATTCAACTTATTTGATTAAAAAAAAAATACAATTTTGATCAAGAGGGTATTTTTAAAGGAAAGACCAAATGAAAGAAACAGAAGTTACTATCTGTATCTCTCTCTCATGCATGCACGTGTATGCACATGCACACACACACAAATATATGTAAACTAAATAATTTATTATATTCATTTAAAAAAAAAGTTGCTTAGCAAGGTTTTTAAACTAGCCTTTTCAATGTTCCAGATTGGTACTTTCAGGGTCAATACAGTAGACACCAAAAGAGAAATCACTGAAACCCTGAACCTGGATTATACCAGTGTATCATGCTTTAAGTAAATTTCATGTGAAAATCCACTTACTAAATGAATGTAATTTCCTAACTTTTTTAAAAAAAAAAAAAACTTCATTTTTTCATAAAGGTTTAATTATAGAACTTCTTTAAATAATGAGTTCTCTGGAAATAATGATTTTATTCAAAATAAATTAGTTCATCTATTCCATGTTGTGTTCCTGCTGGGAATCTACAAACACAATCTACATGTAAGTAGCAATTTAGAAAAGTGGATTTACTACACAAAATCATGAGACAAAAACTACTTTAACAAATGTTACTTTTATTTATAGGAAGCCTCAGAACAAAGATTTTTGTTTCTCCACCATTGACAGATGTATGCCTTTGTGAAATTATAAATTGAAGCATTGAAGCTTCTTCATCTGTAATAATAGAATAATATTATACCACTTTACCTAAAAATTTGACCCAGTGACTTAGGATCACTTCAGCTCAGCACTAGGAATTAACGTCCCAGTTTGCTTTCAGTAAGCACTCTTAACTAGAAATGCCCTCTTCACCAAGCTCCCTCCCTTTTACTCCCTCTTCTCT